GCAGCCGGCTGCCTGTTTCTATTGTGGACATCAGCAGACGTACTTCTATGAATGTAGCCACTGGCTTCAAGACCAATATGTCTAAGTCTGGACTTTTCACCTAAGTTTTCTTAGCTCTTATATTGACTACAAGTGGGGCTCCGCCTGCATAGAACATGGGGGTCTTTGTGTGCATCCTCTTAAAGCTTTTTAAACCTAGTCTTATCTGCCTCTGATACCCCTGGCTTCCATTTTGCTTAACCTCCTCCTCCCTCCCCCATGCTATGTTAAGTATTACAAAAGTAAAAGGGTCAAACTGCTAAAAAGGGATCAATGTTAAGTGACAGTGAATAGGGCTTACATTTGTTGAACCAACTAACCCATCCCTCGAGGGGATTCCGAGTGCACCAAGCCTAAATGCTTTAGTGTAGCAAGTGGGCTGTTCCTTTAACAGCATAAAAACACAGTAGGAAAGGCTGGCCTCCTGCAGTTTTTTTTTTGTTTTGCTATGGGAAATGTATTTGATTAGGAGAGAGAGAGTAAAAATAGGACATTAGTATGATATTATTTGTTTTATCTAATAAAATGCCTAGAAAATGTTCATCCTTTCTGATTGGAACAACAGCAAAAATAGAGAACAGCTCTTCTCTACACTTCCTTTTAATAAGATAAATTGGGCAGAGCTCTAAATGCAAGTTCAGGTTTTGGGGTGAAAGTAAGAAAGTTATTAGCAGAATTCCCTGGTAACCCCAAGTACTAGGTGTGCCTGAACATAGAGCCAAGAGCATCCTTTAATTGTGGTGTTTTTCCTCCTCTTATTTTTAATGGAAGTCATTGCCCTGTTTAAGAACTTCAGAAGTAGACATTAAAGGCCAGATTCTGCCATCCTTATTCACCTTGACTAGTAGCAAACTCTCTTGGTAACACCGTTGAAATCAATGGGTCTGCTTGCCTAGTAGAGCACCACTCAACATGTGCATGGGCAGCAGCATCAGGAGCTCGGGGATGAGAAATCTCTGTGAAGAGTATGTAATTTTTCAGTCTCTCAGTAGGTTCGTTTAAGCTGGCTTCACTTGTAAGCACACTGAAAAGTAGCTCAGACATTCTGGGTGAGTTAGGTAAATGAGGACAGGGTAGAATCTCCCTTTTGGTTTTTCTAATCTTTTGTCCCCCCCCCCCCAATAAATCAAACCACAGATGAAAATCACCATGAACTGCTGTATCTCTGTGAATGCCTGTATCAGCATTTCTTAAATGAAAATAATTCTCCCGGAAAGCTCCATGTAACATACACAGAACTACACAACCACCACAAACCCCCCCAAAACAACAACGAAACCCACCAAACGCCCAATTTGAAATTTTTAACAGAAAAAGGAGATTTGTTTATTAATAATTCATGAGTTCTCATTGAACATGCACGAAGAAACGGTGCTATTCAATAGAGAATACTGTCATCTGTCACTGTTTTATTTGACATTTACACTTTTTTTTTTTTCTTTTTGCCTGGTACTGCAAAACTTCCTTGGATGGCACGCTAAGATTGTTCAAATGAAAGAAATCCAAAACCCCAGTGCAGACTCCTCATCTTTACCGAGAGAGGGTTTACTTGCAATTATAAAGGGGTGAGAGTGTGTGTATGTGTGTGTGTGTGAGGTAATGGCTTAGTGTTTTCTGATATATTAGCCATGCTACTACCTAATAACAGATCCTGTAGATGGATAGATAATCCCAAATAGATAGGCGAGTGAATGAATGCTTGAATAAATAGATAGAGGGATAGAAGAAGAGCGGGTGAAAGAATAGTTTTGATGTAGATAAGTGTACAAATGCAATAGAGGGTGAAGGGGAGGGGGAAAGAAATAATGACTGTTGTGAAGAATGCTGACACAAATAAATTGCCATTGCTGATGCAAAATAAATATTTATATATGGCATCAGAGGGAAATCCAGTAGTATAAAACATGAATGTAAACAGGGCATTTAGCACAATGACAATTCAGAGTTAGGAGCACCTTGCAATTTCTTGCTAATATTAGGCTCATGAAAATCTTTCTGCTCTGTAGGTTAGTTATTATTTATAAAAATCACAGAACCAGCTGATACATTCATAAGCTAATTATTGTAGCAGCTGGGTACACATGGTGCAATATGTCTGAGGCTGTGAAGTATCACAGATTTCTTGGGGCCTGCTGTGGTGGGGGGGTGCTGTTGAAGGCTACATCCCTTAATCTGATCAGCCAAGCAAATACTTTGTGGGAAACTGGATTAATATTCCTCTAAATACCATGAATGTGCTTTACCTTCCAAACTGGGCTCCCTTAAACACGCCATTAGCGTATCTCCATTGGGGAATTGAGAAGTTCTCAGGTGTCCTAAGGACAGGGTCTTTGCCTGGTGCCTCCCTTTGCCAGAAATTAATTTGGTTTGCTCATGTCTGCACACATGGTCACACTGCAGTCTAATCCTCTCCCTAATAGCTCCAAGGTCAGGACCTTGCATGTTGCTGAGCAAATTGAGCCCTATACTTCTTAAAGACTAATGGCAGAGAGCACGCAGTCCATAATGAGGCCTGTAGCATTGTTCTAAGTGATGTAATGAGCGCAGATTATAACGGTGCCTATAAATCAAAATGCAGCAATGAATGTTGTGCTAGACATTCCAAGTTTCATCCGTGGCGATGGTACCACTCAGCTGTCACCTGTCTCATTTCAAATTGGGGCTTCCCACAATGCAACTCCTGCCTCCATCAGAACAGCAGGTGTTCTCGTCCTTAAGGTCTGTATCTCTCAGAACTCTGTCTTTTAACAGATGTAGGTTTTTTGTTTTTATTTTCTGTTTAATGATTGGTCTTCATGCTACAGCATCCCTCGGGAGATGTTAAACATACCTGCTTGAAACATTTGAAAGAGTCCAGTTGGAGACTTATTCAGATCAGTAAAAAGGATGGAGAAATAGGAGCTTATTTTTTCCACAGATGGTTTATTTTCCATTTCAAAAATTGTTTCCTTTGTACAAAGAAACCCCTGAGAAAATACTGTGGATCTGGAAGATTTTTTTTCTTTTTTAAGACACAAAGTTTTGGGTGTTATTTTGGATGGAGGGGAACTGTATTAGAAATTCAGCTGTCACCTGACTCTGAGCTTAGCTAAATACCAAGTAAAATACTTTAAATATATATATATATATATTTTTAAAGCAAATGATTAGAGATCTTGTTTTCATCTCTCCCCCCCCCCCCCCCAGTTTATTGCAAGAAAAGATCAGGTCTGCACAAATGTGGCCTCTCACTTGTAAAAACAAGGCAGTGTTGTGTTACAGATTAGTTTATAAATCCCCAGTGGCTTCACAGTTCAGTGCCTACAGCTGCTGCAGATGGGCCTGGGTTTTTGTCTCTTCGCTGTGCTGCAGCCGGCAGTTGAAGGAGAAAATGGAATGATCAGGTTATTAACATGTAGGCCGTGAGGAAGAGGCTGCACAATGAGAACAGCTGGTGTTGCTGTCTTGGCTGATGCAGCGGAGATAATCAAATCTTCCTTTTGGGGGGGGGGGGGTGAAGGCAGAAGACACAGTGGAGAGTTAGACAAACAACACTTATGATATTATATGGGGGTTTTATAATGCACATTAGGAGTCATCACTGGCTTACAAGTTGTTATATAAAAATCTTTCCTTTTTTAGGAAGGACTGTATGGGCCTTTAATGAACCTGCCTATTAAGTTTTCTTTGGTTACAGCTTGGAAATATGCAACCTGGGCTACTTCCTGTTCTCTGCATTTAAGATTGATCTAGCTGTCTATCTTTTAGGTATTTTAAGGTGCCTGTCAAAATGGTGTCTAACTGCCGAGTTGTAGCTTGGAAATGATTAGGTTATAAAGCTACGAGGTAAAATATTTTGACAAGAGTCAGTAAGCCGCGTTGACAGCATCCTCGGCGTTATTTTCATATACTCCATCATTTGCATTGCATCTTCTCTTGCGCAGGCACAAGAAAGAAATCGTATCCTCAGTGCTAAGTAGGAGACATCTGCCTGCAGGTGTGAACTGAGCCAACTTTCAGACCCTTGCAGGTGCAGTTATAGTTAACCTGCGCGGGGCCCAAGGTCAGAGACAGCCATGCTCAGTGCACACACGGGGCCAGGTGTGTGAATGCCATTAATAGGCCTTGTCGTTTTGCCCTATAGTATTCTTTATGTTTTACAGCCAGCTCCTTTCTTGGAGTGCACACTTTTCACTCTCTGGGAACCTTTGCTTCTTGGCCCTTATGGAGAAGTCCTATAGTATTTAACAGAGTGCTAACTTTTCTATAGAATTTCAAGCTAACCTATAGAAGTATATAGCAGGGATATCATTATCCAGTATTACACTCTATGGATTGGTTTAGAAATCTCTTCAACAGATATCATTGTCCACAGATTTTTAGAGTAATTCCTACAGAGCCCTATTTGTCTCATTCTTATTAAATTTGATAGGATTTTTCCATAAGGCTTAATCTTCCTTTATAAAACAGGCATTTGATTATTTACACCTGGTCAAGTTTTATTTTGGGATCTGAATTGGAGGCATGGATGTTACGTAAGAAGAGCTAATCAAAGGGTTTTTACTTGTTGGTATTTTTTATAAAAAGTTTTCATTTATTGTGTGGGGACAGAACTTCTGAGTTGGTCACTAGCAGATGTCAGGGGCCACAAGCACGCTCCCCTTGCTGTATTGCTAAGTGTTGCAATCAATCAGTGGTTCTCAACCTTTTCCAGACCACAACACCACTCCCCTTGCTGTCTATTGCTAAGTGGGAGGGGTGTTGTGGTCTGGAAAAGGTTGAGAACCACTGATTTATTGCAACACTGGTTTGCCACAGTTAAACCCAGTTAAATCTGTGGAAATCAGAGGGGCTTCCATGTCAGATCAAGGCAGCAGAACTTGAGACAGTGCATCAGCAAAGCCTGCAATATAGCTGAGGTTCATTTCACATCTACTTCATCAGTGCTTGGCAAGTTAACTACTCTAACCCTTTTGGTGCAGGGATGGCTGTGTGAGCTGCTCCGCTGGAAAGAGAACCCAAGCCCAGAAAACCGCACCCTCTGGGAAAACCTCTGCACCATCCGCCGCTTCCTGAACCTTCCCCAGCATGAGAGGGATGTGATCTACGAGGAAGAGTCCAGGCATCACCACAGCGAGCGCATGCAGCACGTTGTCCAGCTCACTCCTGAGCCTGTGCAGGTCAGAGCACTAACCTCCCTTTCAGTGGTTCTCTGTGTTGCAACAGCTGTCCGAGGTAGAAAAGAGCAACTGGTTCCAGCTTCCATGGGGCTTGCAGGTTGAGTGTGTGTATGTGTGTGTTTGTTAGGTTACCAAAGAAGAGGTCAAAACAAACTACTTACACTGGAAATAAGTGAGGGTAAGACTGAATAGGAAGAAGAGCTGGTGGTATTTGGGGGGCCTACCTAATCCACATTTTTGTGATTTAGTATTATGGCTCTGAGTTATAATCCAAAGTATGTTCCTCCAGAAATTGAAAACAAATTTCTCATAGAGTGTGGGCATATATGTGTGTGTGTGTGTGTGTGTGTGTGTGTGGCTGGAAAGTGGACCAGGAACTTGAGTAGATGCGCTCAACCCACAAAGTTCTCACAGCTTCTGACAGGGATTCTCAAACTATGCTCCACTATCCAAAAATGCTGTAGCATACATCATTAGAAAGAGACCGATAATACCACAGAAAATAGGGGGTATTGGGAGGAGAGGTGGTCCATGAGTGGGTGTGTCCCATGTGAAGTGGTCTAAAAGGTAAAACATTTGGAGAAGCTCTGCTTTGAAAATATCTGCTACATGTGTGTTCGCTGAAACTTGATGTGTTCTAAAACTGAGCAGAGTGAACATTTCCTTGAAAGCAGAACTTCATTTCAGAACCCTCCTCAGTGATAGCTGCATGTTTGTAGGCTCCATTCTTGACTCATGCCCTAGATTTTGGTTCTTTGCAATTTTATATTAGCCTTGTCTCAGTTGTTCTTAGTGAAATGAGATGTTCTACTGGTAAATAGACGCACACATGCACAGAAAAAGAAGGGGGCTGAGTGAAATACTACCAGACTTTCATCTCTGAGGTCCTTGCTTCAAAACATAAATGAAAATGAGTAGCAGATATTTATACACATCACAAAGCCAAGAGTCATCTGGCTGTCAAGAGAGGCTCAGAACTGAGACAGCAACATGTAGCAGATCAGGACTAATGGGAAATGAGAACTGGAAAGAATTGTAGAGTACTTTCCCACCCTGCACTCCTCATGCGCACCACTACCACAGGTAAATTCAAACCAGTGCTTTACTGTCCTATGGTATGAGCCAACACTGGGGGAGGGAGGTATTATTTGTATTGCAGTCATGTCCAAAGCCCAGCAGGGCCAGTGAGTATCAGAGACCATTGTACTAGGTGCTGTTTTATTTAAAAAAAAAACAAAACCAGGAAAAATAACACTCCCTCCCACCCCAGCGATCTGAAATCTGATTTAAGATATGATGTCGCAAATGAGGCTAAAATTCTAGGAGGGAGTGTAGGTTGTTGGTGGCGGAAGGAACAGTAGAAAGAATCATAGAGGCTACCTATGTGCACAGCTTGATGACTCCAAATCATGTTGAAAGTTTTTTTGCTTTCTTTTTTTTTAAAAAGAATAATGATCATTTCTCCACATCACCTCTCGATCTAGCCTTCTTTCTTTTGGGGGTCAAAGCAGAAGTAAGTCTTGAGGAGGTCATCAAACGAAGAGAGGCCTTACAGATTAGTTTCGAGTCAGCTTTTGGGGGGTAGTGGACAATGGCCATTCAAAGCTAGTATTATTGGAGAAGTAGGATAAAAGGGATGACAAGAAGCAGTTAAGTAGGGAGGGTGAGATTTGCCAAAAACCCTGAAGCTGATGAGAAGAAGCTTGGACTTGATGCAAGGAGATCCAATGGGAAGATTGAAAGAGTAGGTGATGTTGTATAGATCAACAGGCTAGGAAGATGATCTTGGCACCTGCCTTTTGTGTGGATTAGAGGAGGGCAACGTGAATGTTCAGGTGAACCAGAGAGGAGGAGGTTACAGTGGCCAAGCTGGGGCGTGGCTGAGAATTCTTACTGATTGTACCAAAAGGAAGGATCGCATCTTAGAAATTGTGGAGGAAGAAGTGACAAGCTTTGGCCTAGCCTGAATGTGAGGGAACCAGGCAGAGTCCAAGTTAACCACCAGGTCATGGATGTATGTGAAAGGGAGGAGGTGGTATTGTCAACCAAAACTTTTCAACCTCTGGTGAGTTTCAGCCCTTCACTTGCTGTTCCTTTGCCCCCATTGAAGTCCACTCCATCCAGCTCTTCACTTCATCTCCTTCTAAGTGGAATAGTCTATTGTTGCAGCCTCCCCTTCCCCCATTTTCCCTGATGTTGATGGTTTGTTCTTTCTTCTTCTCAGCCCAGTCTGTTACTTTTTATCCTGGGCAACTTGAATTTCCACTTCAATTTTTCTGATTCTGCTGCCTCTCGAGTCATTTCATTTACTTCTTTTGCTTGATTTCCTGCACACCATCTTGGTCACTTTCTTGGTCTAGTCATCACCGAAGAGCTTACTGATTTTTTATCTCTGAATTTCCTCTCTGACTGCTGATTATTAAGAGTTCATCATTCATTCAAGTCCACCTTGTAATTCCTTTTCTGATTTCCAGTCTATTAAATACTCTCGTTTTTCTGATGTTCCTTTCCCTGACTTTGCTCCTGCCTTTCAGCTTCATGGTTTCTACTTTCAGCTTTACCCTCTGTTCTGTTACTAGATTCTCTGCTCTTTTCTAAAAGTGCTTTGTTCATCACTCTAATCCCCCGCCTCTCCACTCAGTCCGCGTTCTCTACTTCCATTCCTGAGCTTTTGAGCACCTCTGCAGGCAGTTCTGAGACTGTTCCCCCTCTAAGTTCATTCTCTCTTCTTTGAATTCTGCCCCCTTTCTTTCCAAACAACTTCACTTCTCCCTGGTCAGTTTTTGCCCTATCCAGCCACATATAGCTTTTCAACTTTTGACTTTCTCCTTAAAACCTATACCCAGCTTCCATCTTCCTCTCTTCAAAATATAGATAAGAACAAAAGGGAAAAATTTTCACCAACCAGCATTCAAGTTCTCCAATCTCACATTTGCAGAAAGTCCCCTAAATGCCCAGCATCAGAGGGCCAGGGTTCATTGGCACCCCATTCCTCTCAGATTGTAAACTATCTGAGGCAATGAACTGTCTTCTTACATATTTGTAAAGGACCAAGTTCACTTCTGGCACTGTATAAATAACAATACTCAGCAAAGCTAGATGAATTTGTATTTAGCAGAGTATTCTCTCTTTAAAAAAAAAACAAAACAAAAACAGTTGTGCCGGAAGGCTACCAACTTTGTGTAGCTCTTAACTGTGTTAGACACACAAAGGAAACTGTTATAATTGGAAAAACCCAGCCCTGGAACTAACACCAGATTTAAGGACCTGAAAGGGACAGTTCAAGATAATTTTTCCCTGAGTTGGCTCTAGCTTTAACTAGTGACCTTGATAATTTAGCCTACTTTCAAAACTCTTCTGCACATCACGTTTTTTTGCATAGAGCACAGTGTCTCATCTGAGTGACATGTTACACTGCATTGCAATACGATGCGTTTGTATTGTCAGCAAGTTACAAAGCCATGGATTAATTATTTATTAGTCAAAATATGAAAAATGAAGAAAAATAAATGGAACCAGCTGGCAACTGCATATAGCAAAACTCTGGAGACTCTGGGATATGGTTGATACATTAGGTTTGTGTTTTGGGGATGCTGCATTTTAAAGGACTTTGTTTGCCCATCCAAAATTCCCAGTTGTTTTTTGAATGGCATGCTACCAGTACAAGACACAGACCTCCACCTGTCCCCCAGTGTCAAAAGAAACTCTGGACAGAGTGATTTTTTGGTTTATTTTAAATCATATTTTCAGTCTCTGCGACTGAAGTTATTTTCAACAGCAAGGTTTGATTTTGGCTTTGCTGTGTGGGTCGTTCATAAGCAATTAGCTTTGAAGAATCAATGACGGCTAGTATCCGAGATGTAAAGCTGAGGTCCTCACACTTGCAGTCATTGGAAATTCTGTGACACTTTACATAAGGGTAGGGGTCTTAGGCCCAGGAATCCTGGCCAGACTCCAGCTGGAGTAATTACAGTCTGCCTATCTAAAATTCCCTCTCTGGTGTCAGTTGGAAAAGTAGTCTCACTTCCTCCGAGAAGCAGTTTCTGGTGCAGAATGCCTGCTACATTTCAATTCTGAGCTGGCTGCATTTTAACAGTGGGTGAAACAATCCTATATCTACTGCCACAGAATTACTCTGCTTTGCAGGTCTTCGCGGTGAAAGGTGCTATGTAAATGTATGTTGTTACCACTCAGCCTTGACGCCAAGGTGATGGTCGTTAAAGGCCTGAACAAGTGACAGCGTTGTAAATGTAAGACATGCAAAATGATAAAAACCTTAAGTGCTTACAAGGCTCCCAAAAGAAGGCGGTGGGTAGTCATTCTTGCCTCTCTAGTTTGTTTCATTTTTCTTCCATCTTCTTTTTTAAAAAAAAAAAAAAAGGTTTTGCTGTGTGGCAGTCATTCATGTTCAAGAATTGAGATACGGTGCAATTGTTCTAGCAATAGCATTGCCACGTGGCAATCGGCGTTTGAGATTGGGCTTGGTCCCTTGCTTCCCAAGCTGAGAGCCAAACTAAAAGGAGCCTGAGGAAGAAATGCCTCCTGTCATTGGCCAGCATTTCCTTTCCACCCAGTAATAGGACCTTCATGCCTTCTGGCTTCCAGCAGATCCCCCAGCATCTGTGGCTTCTGGATTGATCCCTCTGCTGCTTTCTTGGGATAGCAGGGTGAGGGCAAACTATACTCCCTCTGATTAAATAGGGTGAAGTTCCTCTTCATGGAGTTTGTGCCCCTAGGCAGAGCAACCCCGCTAGGGAACAGAAATCGGGTCAGAAGTCAATAAACAGAGAAGTTTTTGAAAAAGCAGCCCTTTAAATTCAGTTACTTGGCTACTTGGAGTAAATTGGAGACTGTGAAGGTTCCTTTGCACTGGGTTCTGTCTCATTTACATGTTGAGTTCATAATTTTGAAACTCCTCTACAGTTCAGGGATTGAATGCCAGTGATCACTGGTGGCTGACTTCTGCTCTGCAGTATCAATTTAAATCCACTAGATTGTGT